ACACGTCAAAAGCATGATCTCCCGATATTGGTCTTGTGCCCAAGAGGTGGTTGAGCTTTTCTTTTCCATTGAGAGTGATCCGAATTAATTGTGACCGACTCAAGTAGCATTCCCGGTGACGCAATAAGCTGCCTGAACTAATTGAAATTCACTCTTGTTTTGGCTAAGATTTCTCATATGACAATTTGCTCTATTTATGATGTAACCTCCGAAATATTTTAAGAGTTGTAAACCAGTTAATACCAAGTAAAAAGGTCATGAGAAGAATATTATCAATTGATTGCATGGTTGTGTGCTCTGGACAGAGCCAGCACCTAGTGCGGTTGAGCAAGAAGGTGGCGGTGCGGATCTTGGCGACCTGGACAGAGTTTGCATGGCAGAATGGCTTACAGCTCAATTTGCATGCAGCTGTGGTAGGGTTGGCCAGATAGGGGCTATGCAGGTGCAAGCATACAGTTCCGGTGGCTAGCAGCTAAGCAGTTCCTTCTGGCTGCTTCTAGCAGTGGATTCTGGTGGCTAGGTTGGTTTATGGGGGAGATGACTGGTCCCTGGTGGCTGGCAACTAGGGTTATGGTGGCCGGTAATAAAGGCTACCCTCTTTAAGGTTTTCTTATTTGAGCAATGAAGATCGAATAGAGTTTCTAAAAGAATTTAGAGTTTCTTAACCTAAAATTCTAATATCATATAAAGAATGGTTGAATGTGCATTTTCTTGAATATTACTACCCTATATATATAAGTTTTATAGAACAGAAAAAGAAATAAACCATTAATCATATTAACTACAAAAGGGATATTTTACCATAATGCCCTACAACCTAATTATATACTCTCTTTAGCATAAATATAACATAATCATGTTACTTGCATATTTCACCGAGATCTCAATCACTCAAGAATGACAAATTGAAAATTTCTAAAGAGAATAGAATTAAAGGTAGGAAGGATTTGGCCCTGGTAGGGGGAACTATCACACTTTTTGTATGACCTTATGGTATAAGACTATAGCTTGCTTCAGTTTGACTCGA